TTATATATATAATTATGTCCCTTAATAATTAAAAAGCCTATTAAGAGATCAGCTCAAAATAAAATATATAGGACGCCATAAGTTAAAAGCCCCTATGTATATGCCATGCTGATCGTTATCGGATTTCAACTCACGGTAAAACGATTCTATTGGCGATCTGTCGAATGATAACTTGAATATATATGATCTCTCTACATTTGGATATTTTATAATTCACAAGAGCAGACACAAAACATTAGCTTAAATATTTAATACCTGCTGAAAGGCCATTTAACAGTATCCAGAAGAAATCACTCAGTGTTAAATGACGATTGTTTATTCCTTAATAGGACAATATATGCAAATTCTCAATTTAGAAACCACACCTGTCAGTTGTTTTAGTGAAATATGTTAAAAGGTATACAATGCATTTTCCTTGATGGAAAAATACTTTAAAGTACGTCTTTGATTTTTTTGATCTGTTCGTTTAAGTTGTAAATCAATGGAGATTGGAGAACGAAGCTCCTAAGCATTCCCTGGCCGGCCGTGCTCTCTAAACGAAATCGCTTTAACGCTATCGCTCATCGATCATGATCAGCTTATGTGATAAATAGAAGACATTTTCCAATAAAATACTCAAAAAACATTTCTTGTTTTCAGAAAAAAAACGGCTAAAAGACCAGTCTACGTTTTTGGGTGTTTAACCTTCAACGAAATCGTATCGGATGCAATATGTGGGACTACTTAAAATTATTGGATGTCGTTCAATGTCCTTGTCCCGGATTAGCTTTTTTGGGTCAACTTAATTCAACTCATATCAAGATTCATATTTCGTTTTTATTAGATAGCGATACCGCCTGTGGCGTAGCCTAGTGGTTAAAGCGTTCACTCGTCACGTCGAAGTTCTGGGTTCGCTTCCCCACAGGATACAATGTCTGAAGTCCATTTCTGGTGTCCCCCGACGTGATATTGCTGGAATATTGCTAAAGCGGCGTGAAATCATACTCACTCTCTCACATGTATTAAGTATGTGCAGTTATACAAGCTTAAACATTAAAATAGTTTTTGATCAACGGATGATATGAGAGTGTTCATGAGAGTGTGAATATACAATTTCTTTGAAACCACAATGATCATAAACCGGTATAATATATATGCGGTTGTTAATAACTATCAGTACATATTTTCAGTTTTTGACACACGGAACACGTATTACAGAACAAAATATATAATTTCATGAATATTTTCTAAGAATGATATAAATACAGACATACTAATATATTATATTCTTTGAAAACTTGCCAAAGCCTTGTGTGGATATAAATAAAGATACAAGTTAAAATTTAAAGAAAATCGAAAATACTTTACGAAATTTTATAAAATGACACATCAGATGCTGTCAGTTTTACCATGGGACAAAGAGTAGATGAAATAGACGAGCTCACTTAAACGTGTCAATTTCCATCAAGATGTCATCACAATCAGCCATCAAACCCATAACCTGATCAGCTGTGCCGGTTATCGCAACATTAGCGATCTTATATTTCACCTCGCCCCTAAAACCTTAGATGCAAAATGTGAGCCTTGAGACTCTGCCATGAATAAATCACCTGCAGCTTGCAGTTTACCCGGAATCAGCCTAATTTGTCAATATCAAATTTACGTCAATTGCTTCGAGAAACATTTGTTTCCATTTCAACATCTTCCTTCCAAGTCGTATCTGTCGGATCAATGTATACGGCCAGTCTTGTTCATTTCAACGTTTCAATCTTTGACATTTGGATAGGACTGAGCGATAACGTGTACACTTAGCTATCAGGATGGAATGAACATTTTAATTTCCTCGTATCAGTTTACATATTCGGGGAGGTACATAGCTTTCGGGGATGATATGTTCAGTTGTCGATGAGCTGATATAGTTATACGCACCCGAAACACGCACACTTAGAGACCGATGGTTGGTGTTGATGTTCTTTCGTTCATTGCAAGGCAAGTGACAAGATCTGTCCTCACTTGGGGCAGCTGTGTCCACGGTATTGGTCATATCAGACTCGACTGGTATGTAGTTTTAACTATACTTTTAGTTTTTCTATAGTTCCTGAACACCGAAATTGTTTTCGTCTTTTTGCGTTATCGTTACATTATTAGTCTCGGTCCACGATGTTTTTTGCCAACTTTATTACGTTTGTGTTTGTGTTTCTGTATCTTTAGTGTTTTTTTCTGACTTCAACTTTCGATGTTTAACGATTGAGATGCGGCCAAACTGAACAAACACAATGTCCTTTAACGGTTTTTTAAATGCAAGACTTGTGTTATACTTGTGTTCCAATCGTTCTGTTGTATAACGTTCTGTTAATACAGTTATAATTGTATCACCAATAAAAAAGTCAATGTTGGATTCTAGATTAAACACACAGATCCCGTTTCTGGACAATACGCCATGATGTTCAGGTTGGGGAGGGGGTGGGGGAGGGTTTGCTCAATTCAACAACCATGCCACTTTGAAATATATAAGTTGCCCCCATGATAATGATTTACCGAATGAATTTTAAGTTGTATTTATAATTTACAGATCATCTTTTTTAAAATATCACTGCGCTTCTTTAGCCATTTCGTGACTCCATTAAACCATGTTTTGTTCTGCTTCACTCGGGGTTTGCTCACTTGCTCACACACTCCAACTAATGCTGCCATTGACAAGCTGGCGCTAGAGTGTGTGAAAAATGACAATTAGATAGACATAAATAATTTATTTCACTTGTAACAGCTTGACACCTTGCACATGTCCGTGAACACTGTACTCAATATTGCAAATATCATGCGCTAAATGAAAATGCCTTCGCTCGTAAACCGAATGTCTATGCTTCTTGATAATGTTGCATCTGAAACTAAAGTTAAAACTTGAAACTACTTTAAAGCTACACTTCAATAATGTATACATGTCTTGATAAGTCAAAGAAAAACTGCCTGGAATTGTCATGAAACTTTAAGTGCTTGTATATCAGTTGTTCGGTGGCTGAGCGGCAAGAAACGCTGATAGAAACATGCTATCTACAACGCTCGTATCTTCGACTCCGACGTTGACGTTTGACTCTTCACCTGACAGCTTTTAGCTTTATTAGTTTTTGCATATTTCTGTTAAGTAGGAAAGCAGGGGCCCAGAGATCTGGCAACATGGAGGTTGTTTATGCAGGTTGTTTGTATTGTGTGCTGTAAGTGATATTTTTCATATCTTGAAAGTGTTTTTGTTTTGAGAATTTCACACATCTAGTCCAGATAAGGAAGCCGTTTTATCGAGGCTCAGAAACCCTCATCGACTTTGGTATTCCTATCCATTGATAATATTGTGCAGTGTTAATCAATTTTGGACTTAGAGTTTCAAAAGCGACCTTAAAGACTATGTTTCACTACCCCCCTTCCACCCCCCAAACAAACAAAAACAACAAAAAGCCACCACCCCCAACCCCTCCCCCCAAAAAAAACCAAACAACAAAACAACAAAACAAACGAAACCAAAAAACAAACGAAGAAGAAGTCTAAGAATATGGTTTTTTGCGTCCTTATTAACACATTTACTTAACCGTTTCAATTAATATATATTCCGCCTGATCAAGGCAACTACATGGAGAATTCCAACGAAGCCCTGCGACTGTGCGACTGATGGCAAATTCACAGGTGTTATATTTGCCAGGTAAATGCAATTATCGTGGGACAATAACGCAGCGTCAGGACAGGCCAGGTCACATGATTTGTGTAAAAATACGGCCGTTTACAAATTTACAGTTTGCGAAGCTAGCTGTTGTTCAAATACAACTTGTTTGAAATGCTTGGAAAACCACGTGGGAATCTGTGCCCGAGGGCGGCCAAATGTTCAAGCTACCTCATCAACCTTGCTATTTGACGAAGTCAAAACATTCCCGGAGTTATTTCAAGATAAAGCCATTATGGCCGTTTTAATTTTATCACCTTGGGTATGCCGGGTATTGTTTGAACTATTTAGATATTCTTTTGATAAATCTCCGTCAATATCGCCACTTGCTCAGTGGTCAAATATGGAGGGGTTAAGGTCTTTAACGCGGGCCTTATGTGAAAGACCGCCTTCATCCTTATGCAAACATTAGTCTTTATAGAGCCTATGATCGCCACGAGAAGCGCTACTGCGTGAAGGCGTCTTGACTTAACAAGAAACAATTTAATCAGATTAAGCCAACAAAGGCTTTTCAGGAATTCAGGGATATAGAGAGATAACATAGACCGGATCTTTATTGCCGGTAAACAAATTGATAAGAGATATTTTTCTTAGTTGGGTGGAAAGATCACAGGTTTTGTTCCAAGAGAGAACATGTATTGCATACTAACAGCTCTTATCAGACATGTATCGCGCGTGTTACCGATTTCTCGAGGCGACAGCGAAGCCATAAATGAGAACGATGCTGTTTTTCAACAGCTCCGCGGGGAATATGTCTGCATATATTTCAACATCGGTACGCAATAATGTGATTATAAATTCTTGGGTTCAGCGATTGGAATCTTTACCCACAATGACAACGCTAGTTAAATATACAGAGATTCCGACCGACAGATATATTATACTCTACCTATCCGCGGGCTAAAATGCTAATTGCTTGCCTTGCCTCACCTAACTTTTGCTCGAGGTCTCCAATGGCTATTATTTCACCTCCGTCGAAAAAAGTACCTCCAACCGAAAAGAAGGAAACTGTTCCTGGGAACGTAATTAAAATGCTAGGATACCGCCGTAACGATATGATACTTCAGCCGTTGGCCTAACCCTTGTGGAAGATTTAGAATATGGGGTTCAAACGTCGCCAATTCATTTAAGGCACATGCCAGTCACTTCTCACTAATCCCCATCCTATTTAAATCCATTTGGAGGCTAAATTAGTCATATTTGTTGGCCTAATTGGTAATGACAGGGCAGGAGTCCCGATCCCGTGTGTTTTTAATGAGGTTCTGTGAAGGCTCACGTGGTTTCATCTAATTTTTTGCTTCTTTGTTTTCAGGAGGTGACAGTAATGGTGAACTGAAGACACACGGGCAGGTCTGGCATGATGGCAGTGTTCAGGCGGAATATACACTTCTGGAACATTTACATTACCCTCGTGTTTAATATTGTGGGACTTCAGTTCGGTTCTGGGCAGCTGAATGAGATAACGTTTAGGCTACAAGAGCAGAGACCTTATGGAACGTATATTGGAAACGTAGCTGTTAAAAGTGACATTGCAAGAAATTTATCCAATGCTGTGTTTCAAACGTTGACGTATAACTTTCTAAATCCAAACAGTCTGCAAACAGCTTCTCTGTTTAGCATCAACCGGCGGACAGGTGCTATTCACACAGCCGCAATGATTGACAGGGAGACTGTGAAAAGAAATGACAAAGAAGTGTGTGCATTCGTAACAGTGTGTGAAATCGAATTTGACGTGACGGTACAGAGCCAGAACACTTCGTTTCTGAAAATCATCACGGTGAAAATGATCATAGATGACATCAACGATTCCCCGCCGACGTTTGAACCTAACGAAATACAAATATATGTCTCGGAATCTACGAACGCGGGATCGAAGATTCCTATAGACGGCGCAACGGATAGGGATACAGCTGGACGAAATTCGGTTCAGTCGTACGAGATAACGTCTTATAAAGACGTGTTTGATGTCAACTTTGTTCATAAGCTTGACGGGAGCTCCAGTCTTAAGCTAGTCGTTCTGAGAGGTCTTGACCGAGAGTTGAGGGACAGATACCAGTTCACGATTCTGGCCAAGGATGGAGGCACTCCTGCCCTTACCGGAACACTGACCGTCAACATGCACGTCATTGACGTCAACGACAACGCTCCCGAGTTTTCTTTGAAACGTTACAACATTAACGTCAAAGAAACCACTGCCCCGAATTCGGTTGTTGGAAGAGTGTCAGCGCGTGATAATGATGCTGGCAAGAATGCCCGGGTGTTGTATCGCTTCAGCACTCTCAGAACGTCCAAGATCGAGGAACTCTTCACCTTGGATGAGACTAGTGGGCAACTGATTGTAAAGAAACCTCTGCAGTACGAATCAGGGAGTTCGTTTGAAGCTGTCATAGAGGCCGTGGACAAGGGTGAAACACCTCAAGCATCTCAGGCCATCCTGGTTGTCAATATAATTGACGATGGAAACACCCCTCCCCGTGTGACTCTTAATCTGGCTTCTTCGGTTGTGTACAGTGATACTATACTTTTGTCGGAGGGGTCCAGTATTGGTACATTTGTTGGCAGGGTGAAAGTAGAGGATACTGACTCGGGTGAAAACGGCGATGTCCACTGTACATCCCTTGATGACCACTTCAGTTTGAACAAACTGGACGCTCATAGTTTTGCCATCCTCATCTTTAAGTCCATGGACAGGGAAAAGAAGGATAAGCATAATGTGACAGTCATATGTAAAGATTCTGGAACTCCCAGTCTGTCAGCTTCTTTGAGTTTCATTGTCCAGGTTACAGACATAAATGATAACGCCCCTGTTTTCACGTCTAGGACTTATATTGCCAACGTGACTGAGAACATAAACAGATCTGTCAACCTGATCACTGTGAAAGCAACTGACGCTGATATGGGTGTTAATGGCGAAGTGTCCTATACTCTAAGCATGGACGCTGGATCAATGTTCTCAATTGACTCTCAGCGGGGTGTCATCAAAGCTAATGGCGCCTTTGATAGGGAAACATTGAACAAAATGACTTTTATTGTTAAAGCTGTGGACCATAGTTCCGACCCACGAACTGGAACCGCTACAGTGACCGTAAACATTTTGGATGTCAATGACAACAAGCCCTTCTTTCCCCCAACACCCTTCAAATTCCGTGTCCCAGAAGACCTAAAAACCGCCAAGAGGGTTGGACAGCTGACTGCTATAGATAAAGATATAGGAAATAACTCTGCCCTTCGATATAACACCTTGAGCAATGATCCATCCATTCCATTTATAGTGTTTTCGGACGGCACGATCCGTACTGAACGTCAGCTTGACCGAGAGATCCAAGACATGTATACCCTAGACGTGTTCGTCACGGACAATGGTCAACCACCACTGTATTCAAACGGTACTGTTTTTATAGAGGTACTGGACGTAAACGACCATAGCCCTACGATATTATTCCCCAATGATGACAACAACAGTGTCATCTTGTACTCAGACACCGACCCGGCCACCACGTTTGCCACAATTGAGGCCACAGATGACGATATCGGAATAAATGCGGAAATAATGTTCTTCATAACTGGGGGTAACCGCGACAATGTCTTCACCATAGGAAGAAGCACGGGTGAAATTCAGTTGACGCGAACTTTGACCACGAACGACGAAAAAGATTATAAGCTGACCATTTCAGCCCAGGATAGTGGTTCTCCGCCTCAAGAATCGCAGACGTTGTTAATCATAAACATCAACTATACGAACAATACAATAGCGGCTGCTTGGACTGCTGAAAAAAATGCACATACGTACAGGATCATCGCTGGTATTGTTGGTGGAGTGACTTTCATCCTGTCGATCTTGATTGTGTCAATCATACTGCTGATACGACGGAATGACAACGCAAGGAGAGACACAGAGGAAAAGATGGGTGTTCAAGAGGAATGTGGCAAGAGAGAGATGGAAAGAAGGATCTGGCAAGAGGTCAACACAGAGGACATAAAGGCTGGCTTTGAGGGAGAAAAGAAAGGGGATAAGTGTTACAAACCTAAATTGGACAAAGATCGCAGTTTCACGATTGACCCTGACCGCAACACTTCTGATTCCTTCCTAAGTCATGCCGCCTTGGACCAGTACGGCAAACCAGAATTCTTTACTTTTAGGAAGGTAAGATGCGATTTTGTATCTTAATGATACTAATGGTACTTATATTTACTTCTGGGGCTCGAAGAACTGAATAATAGTGTATGCACCATATTCCATACACCAACGTTATGTAAACATACAATTTTGATAGAAACAAGGAACCATATTTGAATTGAAAATGAGATGCGCTCTGAGGAGCCTTTGGGAAATCCTGACTTCTTTATTTAAGGCTATAACATTACAGTCCGGTTGGTCGAGCTTGAAAAAATATGGTTCAGGGACTGTGAGACAGACTACACCCATTTTAGTTTTGGAAATGAACCTATTCATTTGAATTTGTTTTGAGACAAATATTAACAATAACATGCAACCGACTCATGAGACACATTGTCATTAACGTTTTAAGATGTATGGTTCAATATTTAATTTCATTGTCTTTTTATACTATTTCGTTATTCATTCTTTGTTTAACTTGCGATTGCATGCTGGCAGACTGAGTTTTGCATTATGTACTCAAGAATGGCGCTCACTTTTGCAAATTTAAAAATTAACAAAAACACAACGCAAAGCCAAAAATTTGAAAATAACTTGAGATTTAAATTATTCTCTTTGGGTTGTCTTATATATCAATTTCTTCCTTTAGCGTGACTGACCTTTTGGCAGCTCGTAAAGATCTTGTTATTGCTTTTCAAAAATCGATAAACTACATAAAAAGTTTGAATTAGCCATTACTGGTTCATTGTTAGCCAAGGCGTAAACACTGTTGAACTGCCTTGGGCAGGGTAATAATAGAAATAGTACCACCCAAGGTCCCTACATTAAATATTCATACAACTAAAATGTCCAGGACAGAAAATAGAATTGCATTTCACGAAAGATATTAAATCCGAAATCTGAATTCCGTCATAAGTGTTATTCCAAATTGAAATATAACAAGAATGAAAAATAATTAAAAAATATACACAAATAAAATAGAGCAAATAGGAAAGACCCGACGCTTAACTCAGCAGGGCTCTGTGGTTTCATAATTCCATTGTGGCACCGAGTTATTCTGTGGCTACACGGGTCTTTGGTGGCCTATATTTAATTCAGCTTTTCTCATTTACATGTGTATAAGCGTAAGATGATCTTAATTTAAGAGAGTTTATGGAATAGCGTTATTAGCAATGTGATGCAGGATTTAGAGGGATGAGGTATTAAACTAGGTGTGAGCAGATAATACATTATTGACTAGCCACGTATTAAGATTCACTATGGTTGGTTAAGGACAATGTCCTATATCACCAGGGAGGTGTTAAAATGTCCAATCCATTACCTGTCCGAACTGCAAATTATTATTCTCTGATTTATTTGAAATCACCAAGTCATAAAACTAGGTCCCTGAAGAAAGCATACATTAGCGGCATTACTTAAAGACGTCTCTAGGGACATAAGGCCCTGATAGGTGCAAACACTAATGGGAACTTACAGTAAGTGGTCATTGCACTATAGAGAAGGCAGTACAATAGACACAGCAATGTAATAAATTCAAAGTATATAGGACCTGCAGGGTATGCGTAATGGCCCACAAATTACAATCATACAGTACAGCTGTAAACGTATCCTCTCTTTCTTTCGCGGCACTAACGCGCTAGTAATGCGAAAAGCATACAATATTAGTGCAGCAGTACCGCATTGGATTCGCGGTCATGTTTTGGCGACAATGCAATTGTAAAGTGGTGAGTATATATGATCAGTAGTGTAGAAGAGTAAAATCGCTTCCTGTACTAAACTAACGGGCAAAGAAAGTATTCGCTTGAAATTTGGATTTGACAAAACAATTACGAACAATCAAAACGTTACTAGGCTGAAAACAACCGCCAATACACTGCAAACTTAAGGTTCAAAACACAATATGATAACCGTACCAAATGCGCCACCATCGAAAAAACATTTCTTGTTTGTCTCATTTCTAGCCACCAACAAACATGGATTTACCCGGCAGTGAGTTAGGATAACGCAAACATCTTTTTCGCATCGTATGTTTACAGCCCATCGCAAAATAATCTACTGAAAAAACTACCCACAGTCGTAAGAAGATAAACAGTTTGTGTTTGTTACAGCCGGTCTTGTATTATAATTGGTTTTGATATATTTGGCCATTTTCATGAAATAATATTTCTACTGTAATTTCCCATCTCGTTTTGAATATATTCACAGTGATTATTATTCTGTACTATACAGCAAAGAGATTACCTGTTTCACTCGCTCACAGTATCTCATAATACACATACTCGAGTGAGTATGGTTTTACGCCGCCCTGTGCGACATTCCAGCAATATCATGGCAGGACACAGCATTAAAGGGCTTCACACATTGTACCCATGTAGTGAATCCGCGTAATGAGCACATTATTTAACCACCCGTCTACTTCCCTCCTCTGTGTGGAAACAACCATGTGTCCATCCTATTGTCTTTTAAACAATGAGTTTGTGAGTTGGATTCAAGGCCACTTTGAACAGTAATTTACCTAATTAGTCATAATTAGACAGGGTTTTATGTTGTACATCCAGGATAGTAATTGTTGTCCGGTATTAACACGGCTCCGGAATAGACAGTGTCCGTTTTTGACAGATTCCACTGTATATATATATATATATGAACCGCGTAGTGTGAAGTAGCATTATTGTAGTAATCATACTTAATTCCCTTACACGGTGAAGAAACTATTTTCGAAATAAATATGTAATAAAGCATGATGATCGTAAGTCTGCCCCGTGCACAAACCGTATTGTTAAACGCACAATGATGGGAAAATAGCTTATTTGCTACTTCAGCAAACTCCAGAATATATAAATAATTGAATTGTGGTGGCTGTTTCGATGAGGATTATTACATTATCGTTCCTGGCGGGACAGTAACATAACCGAGTTGGTGTAGTCACAGTCGTCGCCCACAGTGGACAGGGGGTTATTACCCCGGTTCCTCTGCGTCGTTGGAAACGTTACAGGGCCCCTACCGTTTATCGCTGATCACCGTCCTGCTCATGGGTGAGCTTGACGTTGGTTAATAAATCATTCATGATTTGACCCTTGATAAGACTATTTATTGCATCGGCTGTAAATATGTACGATGCGTATTACGCACAAAGATGTGATAGTGATGTATGACCTGTGGGTTAGATGGTGTTTTGAAGAAAATGTCTCGTGGTTAAAGCGTTCGCTCGTTTCGTCGACGACCCAGCGTTCTTTAACAGCCTGGTTTTAATGTGTTCTTAGTCCACTCCCCACCACCATGTGTTTTAGGTGTTGAGGCATTAATCACTGCGAATCACTGATAGTTTAATACTCTCTGGCAATTATGAAGAGATACTTTCATAGGGAACAAGGTGGGTGAGTGAGTTGGGTTTACGCTGTTTTCAGCAATATTCCAGCAAGATATCGACGGATGACACCAGAAATGGGCTTCATACTTTGTAAACATGTCGTACATCGTATGGAAAACTCCAGCTTTCATTTCACATTTTTCAAGGTGTAATTTCCTACAAATCCGTCCACACCATCCTCTCAAATCACCCCCTCCCTCCTCCTCCACCACCCTCTCCAATTCTCCCCCCATCCACCCTCTTGACCGCTGTCCAGTGTCCCTGGCCTCCAAAACCCATTGACGGAGTCCATCAGAAGAAAGTTAATAACCGGTCTGAGCCCTTAATCTGTGTGTGTCTTTCGCGTGTACATCTCACCCCTCTTCTGTTTGAAGTGTTTGCTTAAGGAGAGCTCACACCCCTCCATGGCACAGCCCCGGCTTCCAAGTTACATTAAGGCTGCTGTCCTAACACGTGAGATAATTAGCTTCCGAGACGGTCCTGCCCAACAGTGGTGTGTTATCAACGCCTTTTCCATGTTGTTCAAACTACAGAATTTACAAATCTCAGGTCGTGGAAAAGAAGTGTATTAGAGGTGGCTTTTACGCATCAAATTCAACACCGTTTCCAATCGTTTTCCAAACAAGTGTTGCAAAATGACCTCTCCGTCAACGCAACAGTGTCAAGTTATTCCAATTATCCTTCAAGCGCGTCTGAATTGCACTCGGCTTCAAAAGGTAAACTTTGAATCTTCAAACCAGACTGTTGTATTTTTTTCCTAAAATCAGCAACCACTGTGTTCCGGAATCAGTGACCTGTGTGAAGTGGCTGACGTTCCATTCATGATTTCCTCTTCAACGAGGTCGGCTGAATGTCAAGAAGAAATTCAAACACTTCCACCCCTCAATGCGTTGACCCGACATGCATAAGTACTTGGAAGTGATATTCGAACTGAAGCCATGGCTAACTAGCTAACTAATTAACTAAGATGCCTGGACACTGCGCCCTCTTGTAGTGTTGATATCGTGTTCATTTCATAGACTAAAGTATGATTTACACATGTGCACACACGGAAGTATGTATTCAACACACACAGAAGTGGATCAGGCAGTAATGGCATTGCGTGCTTCATACATATAGAAAATGGCAGCTCACATAATGCTATACATCCACGTGGACGCGCTTTATTGTTCGCCTCATCCACATCCCGGGCCTTTAGTTCTGCTTAATACCTTGTAAACACTACCTCCAATCTAAAGGAGAAGCAAGGACCCTTCAAAGTAACAATGACATGGAAACCATAGCAACAGTAGGGTTAACTGTATTAGTGGTTAGTACAGTTAATGAATTTGATTTGACTAAGTTGTACGTCAAGGCCTTCAGGAAAAGCTAACTTGATGCATCATATCCGGTTTTCTTTAAGATTGGCTGTGCTTTGATGTATGTTCTTTAGCGTTGGCTGACACTGCACGCTTGACTTGGAGACATCAATTTGTCTTGCTAACAGTAGTGCTAAAGCTCTAGGATCTGTGATTTAGGGCTTTCCGTCCACATTAAGCTGACATCTCATGATATAAGCGACCGAGAGTTTGATATTCTGAAAAAAACAAAAACGTTTCACATGATGGGGACCCTGAAAAAAATCCCTCGTTAAAAGAAACGTTCGGTTCTTCGTTTAAGAGAAAAAAAGGTATATGCTTTGGAGCAATGGCCAAACCAAAAAATCTATCCAGCAAGATTCCTAACCCCTTTCCCGAATATACAGTTATCAGTTTCTTGCTGACTTACATCAATAACAGGGTATTAACTACTTTTGTCAAATACAAGAAATATTCGATACACAAGGCAGTGTTGTGATGAAGGATTGACTGGAAAATGATTGCCTTTGTTCTTCGATAACAAATATTCCAATCGGACTCTCCTCATATCTTGTTCTCGGACAAGGTATTCTCTGGAGGTTATTCGTGTGATTTGTGATAATGTGACGGTGCTTTCCAAATTGATTTCTTGTTCGGCGTCTTACGAACGACTACACTTGTAGGCGTGCGGCACAAATATAGTGCAAAGCTGTGAATACAGGCGGGGACATTCCCATTGAAATCGTTAGGATTAATAGATTTCCGGTTAGCTATTCACTGTTACGGAGTGTCAATATATATCTGTACAAGCTAACAGTAATATCATGGAATGCGGGCTCTCCGGGGTGAGGGGATTCACTGTTTACCAGCACTGAAATCGTTTATCTTACCTAAACAATTATAACTGCATATAAGCTTTATTTCTGAATTTGAAACTCCATCAAATGCGCATTCCCATTGTATTGGCGTATCTACAACGATCGGTCTGTACTCCGTTTGATATAATTCATGTCGTAAGTTATTGAAGTGAACCCCGCACAAAGTTATCCTTAAACTTAAATCAAATTTACATGCATGTATTTTGTTTGTTAATGACCATTTGAGACGTTTACAGTAGGATCTGCACATGTGCACAAACTGATTCATCTGGTCGAAGTGTATTTCACGTTTTGTTTGATAAATTATCTTTGTTCGTAGATTAACCTTCCCACAAGAGTCGCGTTTTACTTCAGTTTATTTCAAATTGTCCTCCCAGTGATATCCCACAAACACTTGAGTGCCACGGGACATCAGGCGTCTATCTGAAACGTGCGCACATATGAATCAATGTGATTAACACTTCCCATGGAGTTCATCTCTTTTCGGGCACCCAATTAAAGTGTTTGGCTAAAAGATAAGTCTGTTATATCCATGGGCCTAATCCGAAATGCGACCCCGTCTCTTTGAAGTCCCTTCTCTATTCGTTATAACGTTCTCTTTGAATCCTGAGGAGGAATTGTATTAGTCCTCATGTCATTATACGACAGGGCAGTCCTATGGGTGCACTTTGATACTCGGGCATACGGAGACAGGGCCACAGGGGTACTTTCGCCCTAAAGTTACGTGTGAAAGATCACGACTCGGATCCCTTGGAGGCTATTGCATTGAACTCCGTGTGGCTATCGATTCTTTAGGGCGATGAGCAAACGAATCGGAGGAGCAACTAAAAGGGCGAAATTGACGGGATTCTGATAGGTCCCCCATGGCTGTTTTTCTATGATTCGCTATTCCATGCCCGATTAAGTAGGAAAATGGCTTGTTTTGTAGCTTCCTGTTACTCCAATTTGGCACTGTACATGAGGTAAAGTACTGACGCTACAGCATGCGATTGTCAATTTCACGGCGTTGGAATAATTGTCATTAAAAAAGCTTTCATGACAGATTTTCTGTTTAGAATTTTTGACAAAAAAAATTACAAGACGGTCAGTTGAATTCCGAGCATATTTTATATCTGGTTGAGTTAAAAACAAAATTGAATTTGAAATTGATTCAATATTCATCATGCTTCCTTGCTTTACCATTATTATTTTGTCAAAGTTTCTCTCAAACCTATCAAGCCGTCTTTCTCTACTTAAAAGGATTTCATTGATGGGGGAAATCGAGCAGAAATGCGCGGATCAGTTTTATTGTTTTTAAGATCTGTTGCGCGAAGGCCGATTATTAGATTGCAGCTTGATTATACAGAGCGCCACCCTGCGGCTCGCGACGAGTTTGGCATCGGAGGATTCCTCTGTGAACTTTTCCCGAACTCAATTTGCGAATAATTCCTGAATAATAGAAACCATGGATATTGTCATGCCACCTTTAACGGAATTAGAACCTTAAGAGCTCTCAAAAGACAATGGTTGATCATAAGAATGTTTACATAATGCACGTGCAAGGCTTGAGTTCTCATGCCTGTGAATAAAATGCCCATTTCAGTAATGGATGTTCTATGGTTCACAAAAACGTTGACTCATAGCAGCTCTTCGGTTAACTATATTAGTCCTGCAAAACCTAAACCCGGCGACAACTATCGTTGCACTAGTTTTAGAATCATGTTTCTTGCTGTCAATCAAAATACATGTCTCCTGTGGAGACTTCGCAGAGAAGGCCAGGCGAATGCACTAGTGGTTCAAATGTAATTTCACCACGTTGACTCACGAACTGAAATAATTAGATGTCGCAGCGATGCCGTCTTTGTTTTCAAGAAGCATGCTCGGTTTGTGCCCTAGCACTATGTTGTGATGGAACATACCTCTGCTATGACTATTACGCTGTTGTGTCAAGCGGTTTGAAGATAGTGGAATTAATATTTCCCTGAGGAAATTCCAACCAAAAAGAAATGTTTTTAGGGATCTAGCCATTGTCATTATCTTTCATCTTTGGAACATTCAATTTGATGATTTTCATCGAAAAATAATATTTCATTGTCGACTCTGACTACGGGACTGAGCAGCATGGAGCATCAAACCCGCCTGACGTGAATACCCTGTCTGGAGGAACCCCATGGGCTTGGGGCTTCCAGCAAAGCGAAACTTCATACACCATGCAATTATAGCTACAAAGGGAGTTATCATCGTTATAAAGATTCAGGCTTAAAACCTATTTTGTCACATTCACAAAAATCTATCGACTACGATCAATGGTCACGAATGAGCCATGTCAATTGTTTGTCCAAACTGGACATCATCAGGTCGATGGACAGTCAATGGCGTGAATAATGCAAACGATCGCCAATACACAGACGGGGCTCCGTTGCCACGCACTATAGAAGTAGCAATAATTTGATTTGTGGTAATACATATCAGAACTATTCTTCACAATTTATCATTATGTCAAGCTTCCCCGGGCCCTGTGATATAATACGTAGTCATCAGTGCTATGCCACTTCTGGTGGACCCTGAAGATGGTTTATTTCTATCTGTCAGTGTACACTCAGTCTGGCACATGCAATAAGGTTTACCTTCATAAACCGGCCCGGATCGAATTATCAATCTTAAGCAATATTCCCAAGTTATTATGTACTTGGTAACAGATTTGTGTTTGAAGCGTAGTACACGGTCTTAAGGACTTAGCACAATCTCTCCCTTAAGGCGTATATTGAATCTAAGAACAACCAAGCAAATCAAATTTGTTCTGAATTGATGTTATGTGCCAAACTTTATTCCCCTCTGAATTTCTTTCACGACAAACAAAACCATCGATCTAAAAGTACAAACCTGCAAAAAGAAATTAAAAACGTTTTTTTTCTAAACGATTCGAATCCTAACCTCTATCTGTTAGCTGACCCTCAATGGTTATATCCCTGAAGATCACATAACTGTGAAGCCAATACAATCCGAGCTGTCACGTTTAATTCCCCGCCATGACGTTATGCGGCTCTATCTAACGTCATCGGTTGTACTTGGCTTCAATGGGATCCCTAAACGCTTGTTCAAAAGGCTGAATTATCCGCCTGAACGTTCTAAGCGGGATTGTGTCAATAGACGGATCCCAGTCCTATCTTTATATGGTAGCTAAGCGATAGGTCGTGTGCAATACAATAGCTAGACAGATTTAATATCTAAATGCAACCCTTCGTCGTTAGTGTAAGAGGCAGCTATCTAAAAACTTTAATACCCGCGTTTATCCGAATTGTATTAGTATAGTGGTAGCGTTTTAGTTTTATTGATAAGACTTTGGGGAGCGTATTTGTCTGATTTAATATGAAATATGCTTAATCCTCTTTAGGGAATCCGAAGCATATTTGTAACCCTGACAAACCCTATGCGATCATTCCAGCAGTTGACATTGGCGTGTTTGACAGCTGTTGTGTTACTAGAGTCTCAGTGTTAATGGCTTGCATAAACTTAAGGCCCACTTTGGGAAGTCATTCAAATCGCTCGATCGGTCGACATTTTGATGAATTTAATGTTTTAGCTCTCACGTATCTAACGAGTGAGAACCCCTCCCCCTCTCCCCCCAGCCCCACACCACACCCCTACTTGATCATTGTCTTATTAACGTAGACTATGGGGTATAAGAGATGCTTGGATAGCAATTCGTATATGTCAATCGATGCACATACTATTTTTGTAATTATTAGTGGTAAATTGGTTGTTTTTAACGATTCCTTGAATGAGAGTGTTCGTCTTTAATTCGTTTTAATCCCGGTAACTAGTGCTGCTTGAACATATGTCGGGCTTTAGTCGAAGATTTAATCATCCAATTATGTTGTCTTGTTGGTTCGTCCAGTGTGGTGGATGGACATTTACCGAGTCAGTTCAACCACCTCGCGCAAAGATTACCGTCCAGCCTTTAATTCTATAAGTACACGTAAAGATCGAATTCTGATATTTAGACGCATCACGCTTGCAATTTAATGTTGCCACAGTCTACTGCCGCCCGTACGTATATCTAGTCTAGACCAATCACATCTTTGTCGAGACTGTCTAATTGGTGCTGAGTGGGACATTAGACAGCTGTATTGAAGTACATTTGCAATTTACCAGACGAAATTAGATTATAAAACAAGGTTATGCAGAAACGAAAGAAGGAATTTTATGCTTAAACTTGTAATACCACATAGATAACATGGTCATATGTCAACAGTTTCGAAACGAAACGTAAATCAGACAGATGTGTTTACGAAACTAATATCTGCCGTTCTACTCTAGGGTCACGGACCGCCATTCAGCGAAGACGTGCGCAGTGACGCATCAGGGGAGACAACTACAAGCGATAGTGGCCGAGGCGGAAGTGAGGAGGATATTCAACTACCGCCTCTTCCGGATCTGAAAGGTAATGACTCTGACTTTCGGTTATAGCTGCAGTTATCAATGGCTCTCATTTTCCTAATCGAAACCTACACAACTCTCTCTGTATCTGTAGTCACCTCCTCTGTGTGATTGTGCGCCGCCGTCTCTCTCCCTCTCTCTGTGTCTCTCTCCTCTCTCTCTCACTGGTTTTTCTCACCTGTGTATCTCTCATTCCCTGTCTCTCGCCTGTCTCCCTCTGCCTATCTCGCTGTCTCTGCCTCTCTCCCCATTCGCTCTCTCTCTCTCCCCCCCCCCCCCCCCTCTCTCTCTCTCTCTCTCTCTCTCTCTCCCCAACCTCATTCCATTCTGTACTTAGTATAAACGTATTCCCATTTCTCAGCCTTTAAGGGTTAAAGCCAGGTTTGAGTTGCACAGATCCTGGATCGGTGCCGAATCGTCATTTAAGTAGAAGTACAAGTGCAATTAAATACAACATAATAACATTTGTACAAACATGTTTAAAAGAATTTGTCATTACCAGTGCGGCGATCACATATTCATTAAAAAGAGGGAAACAAATTGCGACCACCAACAGCAATTAGAAGAGTTGTATTTTACAAAAATGACACATCTGCATTGAGTATTTCCTCCAGAAACATTGTGGCTCGCACCGTAACAGGGTATAAAGGAATGCTATTTAAGAATTATAAATAGCCTTAAGCCATGTTCCTACAGAAAACTCGTTTGTTTTTTCTAGTAATGGAAATCAATGCTGTTTCCGCAGCCCATTTCAAAGACTAGGAAAACGATTAGAAGAAAATAATATTTTGTTAAAAATCGAAAGGTCAGGCTATGGTCCAATTAGTCTTTTCTTCCCCTGGTTATAAACCCAGCAACAATGGCCTACTGTCAGGGTTATGTGTATGTATACATAGAACAGGAAGTAAGCAAATCGTATTATCAAAGTAAATGTTTAGATTAGTGTGTACGTAGTGTCAATATCAAAAGAAAGAACATATGTGAAATTCGGCTGATGGCTTGGTTGATCGATCGTTGCTGCTGATCGGTTGTTGCCCGGATACTTGCTGTATCTCCCATTCAGTCGTCCATCAAAGGAGCCATTAGAACGTATACTCTAAGAGCAATTGGACATTAAAGATGACATTATCTGCAAGACTGGACCCTTCCACGTTACTTATCTATAACCAACTCGCGATAAAATGAATATTGCTTTTGAGATGTCAGGTGTATTGTTTGTATCCTTGTGAGTGAGATGAGATATACGCGTGAATGAGATGTGTATTTTAGTGAGATATACGCGTGAATGAGATGTGTATTTTAGTGAGATATACGCGTGAATGAGATGTGTATTTTAGTGAGATATACGCGTGAATGAGATGTGTATTTTAGTGAGATATACGCGTGAATGAGATGTGTATTTTAGTGAGATATACGCGTGAATGAGATGTGTATTTTAGTGAGATATACGCGTGAATGTGATGTGTATTTTAGTGAGATATACGCGTGAATGAGATGTGTATTTTAGTGAGATATACGCGTGAATGAGATGTGTATTTTAGTGAGATGTACGCGTGAATGAGATGTGTATTTTAGTGAGATATACGCGTGAATGAGATGTGTATTTTAGTGAGATGTACGCGTGAATGAGATGTGTATTTTAGTGAGGTGTACGCGTGAATGAGATGTGTATTTTAGTGAGATATACGCGTGAATGAGATGTGTATTTTAGTGAGATGTACGCGTGAATGAGATGTGTATTTTAGTGAGGTGTACGCGTGAATGTGATGTGTATTTTAGTGAGATGTACACGTGAATGAGATGTGTATTTTAGTGAGATGTACACGTGAATGAGATGTGAATTTTAGTGAGATGTACACGTGAATGAGATGTGAATTTTAGTGAGATGCGCAGGTGAATGACATGTGAATTTTAGTGAGATGCGCAGGTGAATGACATGTGAATTTTAGCGAGATGTGTAAGTGAATGACATGTGTATTTTTGTGAGATGTGCAGGTGAATGACATGTGCATTTTAGTGAGATGTGTAAATGAATGACATGTGAATTTTAGTGAGATGTGTAAGTGAATGACATGTGAATTTTAGTGAGATGTGTAAGTGAATGACATGTTAATTTTAGTGAGATGTGTAAGTGAATGACATGTTAATTTTTGTGAGATGTGCAGGTGAATGACATGTGTATTTTAGTGAGATGTACGCGTAAATGAGATGTGTATTTTAATGAGATGTGCACGTGAACGAGATCTGAAGTTTAGGGAGATGTGCAGGTGAACGAGATGTGAATTTTAGTGAGATGTGCACGTAAATGAGATGTTAGTATGTTCACGTGAGTGAGATAAACGAGTTCGCATTATGTACATGGAATACATGTATATCCTGGTGAGATGTACATGCGAGTGAAGTGCATCTATGAGTGAGATATTTACATGTACGTATGAGAAAGATGCGAGTGAGATGCCATCGTAAATGAGATAATGAGTTATACGCAAGCGTGAGATATTCAGGTGTACGTATGAATGAGATGTAAATTATTGGCTTATCGTGATACCGTACACTGTGGACCCCGTTAAAATGGAAACCTCGCATCCATGACGGTTGTTGGTAACAAGATCTTCGTCTTATACCAACGACCTTACTCTGTAACACTGATCCTGTAGTCCGGACATTTGATGTCAGATTGGTGTCATTTTGTCTGTTTAGTGCCTTCATGCATTCTTTTAAATATAAGTGTTTGAGATTTGTTATTTTTCCTTTCGTTTTTGTCGATACTGGGACATAATATTCAAACTAAATATTTCTACTTTATTTCAGGATTCAGTGGCAGCCATCAGATATTTTCGGTTGCTATCGACGAAAATGAGGAATTTTCTCCCCAGTCTTCCCCGCAGGACATACAGGAGAGGTCTCGCACACTGTCCACCTTCTCCAACCCAAATATGGCCAACAAAATAGCCTTACCTCCGACGACATCATTTCGAGACATCCATACCATTCAAGATCCCACATTCCGTAATAACCAAAGAAATCAACAAAAAGTGAGATTCAGTGCAGACAGTATGGCTCCCGGTTCGAGATTTCAAGGAAACGGAAAACAAACGAAACTTACGAAGGAGTTTAACGGAAGAACACATGTCCCCATCATTAGTAACGGGGAATACTATGTGAAACACGACCAAAGTGCATTTTCGCATCTTGGCTCTTACCATAGCCTCCCTCGTAGTGTTGATGATGACGATAACACGACAACATCAGGTAGTTACACCTTAAACCCAGATGACTTTGAAGAGGTGTTCTGTGAAAGATGACAGTATCACTGTTAATAGACTTGAGTTTCAAATATAAGTGACAGTGCCTGTACGAAGTGAAGACAATATACAAGTCATGAGGGCTTAACTGTTAATAAAGACAGTTTCAATACTGTGGTGGACAATATATGCTTATTCAGCATAGACTAATATTCATTCCTGTTGGTACACGTACATGTAAATGTTCGTATTTTGCAAGAGGTTGTACAAATGTATTTTATGCATTATTTATTACGTTTTTGTTTCTTTCGTTAATGTGAAAAAAATACGGTGCGTGATAAATATGTCATATTACTTTTGGTGACCATGCGATCGACCTTGTGATTAACTATAGGGTTCATGAATCACTATGTTTGCCAAATATTTGCTCAGATTATCGTTTTGTTCACTGTAAGTGTTTTGAGGATAATTGTCTCGCTAAATAAGATGACTTTCGAGACAATAGTGTAAATAAAAACTCATTCAATGTGGTTGGAAAGCATAGGTTGAATCATTTATTTCAAAATTTAAATTTACTATAAACATATCTTTTTTCATTAAGTTATATTCAATAACATTCATAATAGTAAATATATGCATGACATTGCATGTTTAAATTAAATTATTGAAATAGTAGTCTCAGCTTCACATCTCATATTTCGAAATTTTAAGGATTTAAATAGATATTATACAGTTTAGTTGTGTTCAAATTGTTAATTAAACAACACAGTAGATTGGTATTCTTCGTCACAATAACAAGGAACATGCAGTGAAAAGGATAATTTCACATGCGATGTGCATTTTAAAACTGACAAGACAAATGTTACATCTACTGTTGTATATTTCATACATCATGTGTCATGTACGTCGACAACAAACGCTCAAAGTGCCAGTACACGAACAGATCTTTGCTCCTTGAGTCTACAATATATTTTTCTACTGTTTTTCACCGTGCTTTTTCTATGTGGACTACGCTCAGCTTAGTAACCCCCGTTCAACGACAATCTCGGAAATGAATGTGTTGCTAAATTGGAATCCTCGTTGTGTTGTATATAACACGTCACGCGCTTGCTATCGACCTGTCTGATCAGCGAAGTGTGACATATATATCAAAATGAAAATACTGCATCATTAATTAGACGTTATCAAAAAAATTGTTTATGATTTGTGATCAATGTAATATATAATTAATTTCATTGTTAGAACAATTGTTTGCCAGCCGGCATGCTTGGTAAAAATACTATTGTTATTGTTATTATAATATTGTCCTGAATTGTCGGCAGAAAGTTTCAACCCTCTGTTTCTGACTGATATATCTATATATATAAATATATATCTTTCATTGCAATACATCGTCGTTATAATATGTCGTATCTTTGAACCGCAATACATACCTCGTTATACGAACATTGATTTCTCTCCCTATACCACCACGACACATTCCCAAACCACTTAATAGAGAGTGGAGAGCCATTCTTACCTTAAAGAACACGATATTCTTTAATGGTTTGTATAATCAATGTATCGATTTTAAGGCTTCTTTTAATGAGGAATTGTGTTATCGTATTTCGGTGATGTACATTTCTCGACGCATCCATGTTTCTCTCTCCGTCCTCACACCCGCTGGGTTGTAGTAGCTAGGGTTAGGAAATGTTCAGTGCAACTTCCACTTCTTTCGTTTCCTATTGAACGAAGTCCTAGTTTTCACATCACCCGGTGGGTTTATTCGTGACAACTCGTTTCATTCCGGGACAATCCGAATATCGACTCGGGCCCTTCTTAAGATCATTGTGCTGAGATCCGTCGTCGCCCAAATTAGACGAACATGTTCGTCAAGAATATTTTATTAAAGGCACACTTTTCTTTTTTAAACAACAAATTCTAACTGTTTTGTGTCACAATCCTTGTAACTGCCACTTGGGTTTGTTTTTAATTACAAAACATAACCATGTATGGATACTGTTACTTAAGCATTTATAGTCAAACATGCATTCTGATTGGTTTGTCGTGTTTTGGTGCATGTCATCGATCGATAGGGTACGGTCTTATTGTTACGGAAACGGGCGACTGGTGAAGTGTAGTGCCGAAACGTGTATATTTCTTATACAGAATTTTGTCCGTGGACCGCCGCCAACAGGCATTGAATCATATTCTTGGTAATTACAGAATGACGGAACTGAATCCACCCCAGGGTGGTCATATAACAACTTATTACCACAATTCTGATAATATGTCAAAGATGGCGTCAATAGTCGCCATGTTGAAAATGCAAATATACATGTAATAATCTTTGACATTAATTCATATATTGGCTTATTCTAGCTATTATCTCATATCATGTATCTATTATTGAATACATGTAACGTAACGTAACGAATTATAAGGTCCTGTTGCGAGTGAGTTGGGTTTAACGCCGCTGTGAACAGTATTCTAGTTGTATCACGGTATCTCAGCTTAGTGTCGAAGGAAAGCTCGAAGTGATGCGAATGACTAAGCTAATCTCGTGCTGGAATCGAACCCGTTTCCCGAGGGCAGCGGGCTAGCACTTTAACCATTAGGCCCCTGTAGGATGAGGATGAGGTGGAAGATGCACTAAACCCGTCTCCCCTGTTACAACACCGCGACCACTCTGTGTGACTCTTGATGTGACTCTGTGTGACTCTCGATGTGACTCTATTGCTGACCAGCCCCGACAGTATTCTTGCCTTAATAAAAAATTCATCTCAATACAAGACGGTTTGTTGTTTCTGGTCATTCTCGTCAATATAGTTCTGCCTGTACTCATGTAATGAACATTGCAAAATGTCTCAAGACATACCCTCATAGAAGAGCTAGCTAGGGACCGTCACACGGTGTGACCACAAGGTGAGCATCAGGGTTCCTGTAAACTGAGGCAGATAATACGTCCAATATGGTATGTCGCTTCAGGCTCTGTTCTAAAGGCTGAATGTTATGCATCCAGGTGAGCATCATGGTTCCTGTAAACCGAGGCAGATAATACGTCCAATATGGTATGTCGCTTCAGGCTCTGTTCTAAAGGCTGAATGTTATGCATCCAGATATATGTGAAATAATGGATGTCTGCATTGTGCGATAACACCCTTGGTACTTTCTAAACACCCAGTGTCAGAATAATTATTCCTATGAAGCATCGAGGTAGGAATTAGTTACATAAATATACCTTTCAAAATACTTTTTAAGGAATGCCGTCATTGTGCTGTGCCATTCTCACTGGCCACCTGTGTCATTGTAATACTTAATTGTAATAAGTGTTGAGGTAGATATTCATGAGAAATGCCTTCAACGAGGTTTACTCCTTCTGACCACCTAGTGTCATAATACTTAATAATCATATTTGACGTCAAAATAGACACTGGCTGCATAAAGGATGTCTCCATTTTGGTAGACCGCCCGTGCCTTTTAATGAACACCGGTTGTAATTATTACAGTGGTACATTATTACGTTACATTACATCATTGCGTTAAGCATCCGGGTAGATACTTATGACAGAAAGGATAAAAATAGTAGAGGGACACCCTGGTATCACTACGAGCATCCAGCTACACATTTCTACATGAGGGATGTGTCCAGTGGAAAGGACACCATTGCATCATCCTCAACACCTGGTGGGCGTTTGTCATAACTAGACTAAGGCTGCTTCCTTCAGGTGTCAGGATATGAGTACCTGAGGATCTCAAATGATTTACAACAACATACCATAATTCCTTCAAACACAAGAAAAAAGCAAATTTTGTACTTCGGTGGTCTATTTTCAGTGATACTTTTTTAATGCGCAATGGTGAGTTCACTGATGCGCGCTGAATATGTGAACATCTTCTTATGAAATCATCATGAGGAATGATCCTTTTGGAACCAATTGACATACCGATTCTGCTTATAGTGTAACATAGCCAGCTTGCCAATCCATCTGTCGGTATTGCAATCTTTTGACCTTTAGAATTGCTCGCAGGAAAGCAAAAAAATGTTTGACTGGTTTAATACTCCGCGTTTAGTAATATTCCAGAATGTCATCCCGGTGAACGCCAGAACGTATCACATATTGTTCGCATGCATGGAATCAAACCCGAGCCTTAGGCATGATGAGCAAACGTTTCAAACACCAGGCTACCCCACCAGGCCACCTCACCTTATGTCCAATAAAACAACGAGTGAGTGTGTTGGATTTAAAACACTTTGTAGTAATTCAGCTGTATCGCTTTGAAACAAGATTGCAACTTGGTTCCATATGAGTCTTATTCTAATTTCTGATTTGACCTTAACGTCGTAATTTCGCGATAGGAAATGTAGCCATGTATTAACAGAAATTCGGAATAGTCAGTGTCCGGTTACGACAGAATCCACTGTGGAAATGAACTGCGTTCGGTGACTTGCTGTTCTCTATTGTTACATCCTATAAAGACGGAACCCTTTTGATGGAACTGTGCATGTAAAATAATGGAATGTCTAGGCGCCGTATGATAGGTATCGATGGAGACTTAAGACCATATAGATACACGGAATGCACTCCCTTTATTATGCATTAAGATGTTGAGACCCGTTTTTCAAGAGCCGTAGGTCAGTTACTGTTGAGGAATGGGCCCTACCTTAAAAGGTTCTGTAGTTTCTATCGGCAATACGGTGTGTACAGTGACCCCCGTTAATACGGAAACCACGTCTTCCAAGCGTTTATGTCTATAGGTGATTGCAGAATCCGGATAGATACAACACTTTATACAGTAATACCTTTTTAATCCGGACCCATAGTCCGCAAATGCTGTTTTACTAGGAAGAATACTGTTAGAAAAGTATGTCTACAATGTAACATTATGTCCATATTCGTCTATACGGACATCTGTTAATCCGGACAATTTCCCAGAGAGCAAATGGAACAAAGTGCTTTATAACGTTGGGGGTATTGGTGCGTGCGTGTGTGGGGGTGGGGGTTAAACCAAGCCAACTCACTAACTCACTATTGCAACCATTTATCTGTGTGTAGTCCTAGTCATCACTATTTTATTCAATAACTCTCTTCAACCAGATATCTTTCCTGAAGCCCCACTGGAAAAAAATAAAGGAACTTTCTTGGTTCGTGATTTTGTTACGAAGGTCTGGCAATTGGTTATATTTGATTTGTAAATCTCTCCCCACGAACCCACGACAGTTCGTGGTGTCTGAGTTGTACTTCAGACGGTTACAGCACTTTACGAAAAACGATGGTCTCCATCATTCTTTAGCGTCATTAGATTACCAGGCAACATATCGTTCTAATGTATCGGGAGTCGGGTACCCCAGGCTTAGTGTGTACGGAGTGGTTTATATTCCTGACATGGACCTTACAGACTGTTTCCTTACAGATTCCTTAACCAGATATGTCGCGGCCTGGAGTGTGTTGGAACCAAGAGCTCATTCAGGTCTTGCCAACACTCTGTGGTGTACACGATCTTAGCCAATTTATTACCATTTTAAGAATTGTTGCAACCTATCTTCGGGGTATCTTGTACGTCTGCTGCATTAACCGTTAGGGCCTGCTGGTTAGGATGCTCTTTTACTCAGATACCACCTATATACAGTGAAGTTCCGCATGTGTACGAATAACTGTTGATTTGTTTCAATCGAAAAAAAGTTGGTAAAATATGTATTTAAGCAGGAATGAATTGTATGTATTACCAATACCAGTGACACCTTGTTTAACTCGAAATCCGAGTAATCCGGAGTTTGAATGAATAGTTTTTCTACCGGATCCACA